GAGAATGGGAAAAATGTAAAAAAATGGGAATTGAGGGTTAAACAGTTTCAACGGGATTGATATCCCCCCTTCAGGACCCTCATTATACTTAACAGTAGATCTGGCTTTTATTCAAGGATGCTCAGTAATCTTATGTCTAAAGCTGACAGACACTTCACAAGAATTATCATGTTTTTTTTGTCACCATTTATTGACAATTGAAAGCTGATGAAGTAAGCCTTGTGACTGCTTAAGATAATAGTGCAATTGAACATTTACATATTGTAAATGGAAAAACACCCCATAATACAGAACTACAGATGCCATTACATTAATTTTATTTTTAAGCTGTTGAGATTTTTTTTTAAATTTTTTATTGGAGTTCACATGTCTACTTATATATCTGCTTGAGTTATGTATATATTAGGGAGCTGTAATATTTTATTTTATTTTAATTTGTTAATAAACATTTATGCTGGGGTATTTGTTGGTGATTCTTTCTGTCCCAAAGGGTATGTTTTACTGTAGGTGGCCAACAAGTATACTTGAGTATATTATTTGAAAACTGTCTAGAAAAATGGGGTGTGCATTATATTCGGGTACACATTATACACAAGTAAATATGGTATACCTACACATAACATACAAAAACTGTTTTCCAACACTCTCTGGAAGAAAGGGAACTGTGTTGAAATAATTGTCTCTTACTGTTTTCCATAATTCTAAAAGTCTTTCTTCTTTTAGATTTTATTAAGTGTACAACCTGGAGAAGAGAAAAAACTCCTTCCTTTTTTGACAACAGTAATGAAAACAGCAGAATCATTCCAAGGTGTTGCGGAATTCTTTTAACCCCGCTCCGCTGGTTCAAACAAATCAAGAGGACTGTATCTTTCGATGTAACAACACGATTTAATCCAATCCAACAATCTACTGCGATGTACAACTCTCATATACTCAACGTTCGTAACACAACGATCAACGTAACTAAACGATCAACGATCAACGATCAACTCAACTAAAACTAAAACATTCTAAGTATACAGTGGTTTTTCTAGTATCCTTGCGTAAGGCAGTATTTTTACATTAATCACATGTACAGTAAAAGTTCCCATTGTAATGTATCTAAATTAAACGTCTATTACAAAATCCCACGTTCTTTCACCTTATTTAGCCTAAGAAAATACATGCAGTTACATCATTTTATATCGTAAATATACTTGGACTTTGTCTACATTATTGTGAAATCTAATGTCACGGAATCTAACTTTTGCGCTACAAATGTCAATTTCTAATTAATATTTAATCACAGAATAATCAAGTTAAGTATCACCTATTTCTTTCCCCGACACAAGGCACTTATGTTGCGACATCAGTGCCAAAGACTATTAGTCTGCTTAAAGAAAATCAAAATGATCTGTGACAGGAATTTCAAGAATCAAATCTTCACTGCTTGTATTCTAGAACTTGTATTCTCTGATTGTCTTCTACAGGAAACAATAATTGATAATTGTAATAAATTATGTTCTGTGGAAAGTATTTTAGAGACACTGTGTGGAAAGGTGACCATGCAATGAAGATTTTTACCTTTCTGAAGAGGGTGTTTAAAGATTTAAAAATAATTTTCAATGAAGAATATTATTGTCAGATGAGGAGAATTATGATAGGGAAGTTATGAAATATCCGACAAATGCACCAAAGGAAAATTGTTAATATTGTAGCATTATTTTTTCAAGGTAAGTCCAATCTTGTAGAGTCAATTCCAAGGGAGTTAAAACAATGGCACTGTGGATGTGGTTGAGGGGGTCAGTAAGTGGAAACATCAAGTTAATCATAGATAAATAGTTTGGCAAAAATCACATATTATGTGAAATTACTTTTCTCCATGTATTTGTTAAAAGATATCTTATAATAAAAATTCTCTTTTACTATATTAGCCATAATCATAACTATAACAAAATTGTCAAATCTGATTGGCTCTCAACTGCCCTGATTTCAGCCTTAATTGGACAGTTTAATAGGACAGTACGCGGCATCACGCGCGCGCTTAAATGGCTTTTTTTTCACTGCCAGCAAAACAAAATTTCAAATTTCATGTGTTTTGATTTTAAAAAAAATTGCCTATTATATCACAAACTTTGTTAAAGTTATGATTAATTGGTAACAGAACTTCGTGTCGTCCAATTCGGTCTGTAATCATACTCGTGATTAAACAAATCGGACTCCCGCTGCGCGGTCGTCCGATTTTGTTAATCACGAGTATGATTACAGACCGAATTGGACTCCACTCAGTCCTGTTACCATTACTAATTCTAATCACAGTGAAGATTAACCCAGGTTCTCTTATGCGGTTTAGTAAGCCAGAGACCCAGGTCCTTTAAATCAAGAGCTGAAGCTGGATCTTTGGAAAGTGTCCCTATTCCTTGGTCTCTTCTCCCTGGAATTTCTTTAAGAGCGTTCACTTCTTGTAAAGTTTTAGTGATTACAAAAATATCTATATAGACATCCCACCCTTCCACGATTTCTCAACTCAGTACCTACACGTGTCACACACTGCGCGTTTATCGCCCTCTAAAACTTTCACACCAACTACTTTCAAACATTTTCACAAACTCACCTTTATTTTTTTTTTCTTCACTTATCCGTAAAAATAAACCCACACAGCCTGCAAAAATCGACCTCAATTTACAAGTCAGGATTCAGCACATAACCGGACCGAGATTTCGAACTAAACATAACGGCTGTATTTAAAATACGTACGGCAAGGGAGTTTGGCGCGAAAGCAAGAAGGTGCGTGCACTGCAGCAAGCCAGTAATTCCCACGATCAATCGACGTAGTAATTTTCACGCTGTAGAAAGTTTCAGAAATCGTGCAACGAACATGGACATCTAAAATGTAAGCTTGGCGTTGTATACTAGACAATGTGAGCAAATTAAGGTGTGGAAAGTGAAAGTCATGCATCGCGTATCGTATCAGCAATAAAAATTTACGATACCTTGGAAAGATCCGCCCTAAAAATTCATCGGAGAGTGTTTGTTTCTTGTAGCCGTGCTAAAGGTTGTAATTTTGCGGGTTGTTAACATTTTGTTCTGAAACTTTCGTCGAGAAACATTCCCACTTGAACGCGCTACGCAACTATGGCGATCGATGAGGAAAACTACGTCGTGTAAGAAAACACGAGAGTCACCCGGCAGCTTCCCTTCGCTGATTGGCCAGAAAAAATTTTTTCTGGCCAATCAGAAGCAGGCAATTCAAACGCTTCTGGAACTGGTTCGGTAAGAGTAAGTGCCCAGGGGCTCGTCTCGATCTTACAGTAAACTTTCACCACGAACATTTTATCGACCCGACTAACTGCCCCTGGGTCTCCGAGGATGAATCTTACTAAAAACCCAATGTAAGACTTTGAGACAATAGAAGGCGGGAGAAGTATTCATGTATATTGAATTTATTTACGCCTTTAAAACATGATTTCAGCATGTACGTGACAAAAAATTATGAATCAAGTGACAAACAAATATCGCTCATTTCGATAGAAAGCTGTTTCAATACAGGTCGTTAACTCAAGCAATGAAAATGCACAACAATTGAAGGGGAAATTTACTATTCGGTGATTGAGTGGACCTCTTCAATAGCGATAGCTGCAACTTGCTTTCCAAGCTCTCCTTTTTGAAGTCCTTTTGTCCATTCATTAGACAACCACGATTTGGCACTTCAGTAAACAATTTCACAGCTTCCACTTTTAACGGCTTCATCCACATCTTCTCCCATCATTGCCGCCGCTGCTCCGATTTTGTTCAAATATTCCACTTGGTCTTCCATGACCGGATGATGGTAATCAACGGAGTTACCACAACAATCGTAAATAGCACTCTATCCTGCCTTCATTCCAACGCACGCCTTATTCGAGGAAAAAGCTGGAAAATAAGAATTTTTCCAAAGCCAGTCGGTGAGAAATTGCTAAGACATCTATCCTACCGACTACGTGTTTTAAACAGTTTCTTTGCTCTTCGCTTTTAGCCTCCACGTTTGGAAAGTCACTCAGCGCTGTGTTTGTTGCGAGTTTGTGACGGCACGTAGAGTCTGTCATAACGGCCATATCGCATTTCTCGCTGTGATCGAAGACGCTCCACTGTTGACAAAAACTGTCAAAATGAACCAATCAGAGGGTATACCAGGATCTGGTATACCGGAACGCACTTTTTTAAAAATTCTTATAAGCGTTCCCGCACCTCTCTCCCTAGTCCCCCTCTACTTTTCATCGCTTTCTTTACCCTGCACCGCTCTCCAATATCTGAACGCTTGGAACAGGCTACATCTTGGTAAGCTGCAACGCCTGCAGAACGCGGCAGCTCGGCTGGTAATTACTATATCTAGGTACGATCCTATCGCACCATCCCTGGTCAACCTGCACTGGCTTCCGGTTACCCACATGCAGAATAGAATTCAAGATAGCAATGCTAGTTCACAAATGTATCTACGGCGTCGCACCACAATATCTCTTAGACTTGATAAAAATCAAAGAGAGCTCGCGGTATCAGTTGAGATCAGACCGGGGCATACTCCTAATGGACAATACCTATAGAACAAAAAAGACACTCGGGGATAGGGCGTTTGAAAATACTGCGCCCAAAGTATGGGATCGACTCCCTCTAGAAATTAGACAATGTCAATCATTGAACATTTTTAAAGTTTTACTAAAGGCACATCTTTTTAAATCAGCTTTTATTAGTTCTTTTATTGACTCATATTTTACTTTTATCGTTTTCCGAAAATTGTAAATTATTATTATTATTATCATTATTTGGATTAGCCATTTATTACTTTAAGATTTTAGTGTTGTAAAGCGCATTGGATCATATCTTTATCGCATGCTAGACTGCGCAATATAAGAAATAAATATTATTATTATTATTATTATTATTATTATCTCTATTATCACAGTCTTTGCTGGTGTTCTTTTTGTGCATCAGCCGGGCGCAAACCATGCACCTAGAGCGTCAGTCACTCAAGTCAATCATTCTGT